TCCTAAGTGCAGAGGCTGGGGCATGCGTGTGCATGTTGAGTGCAAGCCCTATGGATACGAGGCTACAGCAGCATGCCATTTTACACCCAAGCAGCCCCTCCCATTGCTGCTCCACAGCCGCTAGTGGCACCCAGGTGATGTGCATCCTCCCATCAAGTTCATGGGGCATGGGCTTCCCCAAATTGCTCTTCCCACAGTGCCCCAATGGGATTCACGTGAGTGGGGGAGGGGATCAGGTTGTGTTTGCTACTCCTTTCTCTTTCTCGGGCTTTCTGCTGTATGGCCCTCATGCCTAGAGCTAGTCAAAGCCCAGCATTTATCCTAGTTTTTTTTTTAAATGTGAGGTGGGCTTTTTTTTAAATTTTCCGCAAAGGACTTTTTCAGTTTATCAATGAAATACCAAAAAATTGAAAAGTTTTACAAATTATTATTATTTTCCCTTTTCCCCCACGGTGTCTCCAGGAAAAGGAGGGGAGTCAATGGAAAGAATGGGAGCAAAATATTGGGGGGAGGATTTCCTCTCCCTCTTCCAGGTTTAGTTTTTCCATCCAAAGGCTAGAAACTCTTGGGGGGGAAAAAGCATTTCTGCAAAATAAATACATAAATAAAAGTAACCCCTGTTTTTATAATGAATGAACAAAAATTCCTGCAGAAATGTCACCCAGCTCTGTTAGCTTCTTGTGGGAGGTCGCTGGTGCCTCTCTCATGGAGGCTGCCTTGAAGAGTCACTGAATTGGTGCATTCCTGGTCACCTGGCTCCTTCTTCCTCTCTGTCTGTCTTAGTATTTTACCTTGCCTTCAATAGCCCTTGGGTTTGAGCACATGGAGTCAACAGCAATAATGACATCCCATGGACACCATGGCTGTGTCTACACTGGGCCACTTATTCCGGAAAATCAGCCGCTTTTCCGGAATAAGCTGCGAGCTGTCTACACTGGCCCTTGAATTTCCGGAAAAGCAATGATGCTCTACTGTACAAAATCAGCCGCTATTCCGGAAAAACTATTCTGCTCCCGCTCGGGCATAAGTCCTTATTCCGGAACACTGTTCCGGAAAAGGGCCAGTGTAGACAGCCCAGTAGTCTTTTCCGGAAAAAAGCCCCGATCCCGGAAAAGCGCGTCTACATTGGCCACAGACGCTTTTCCAGAAAAAGGGCTTTTCCGGAAAAGCTGCCTACCAATGTAGACGCTCCTTTTCCAGAAAAACTGAAAACGGAATAGTATTCCGTTTTAAGCATTTCCGGAAATTCATGCCAGTGTAGACACATCCCATGCGTTTCAAGAGAAGAACTAATCAAGAGGAAGGTTGGTAGGTCGATTGGTTGGCTGGTTTGGCTGGGAGTAGGTTAGGACGTGGAGTGGAAAAAAGGGTCAGGGTCATTCTGATAGCGGAAAGGCCTTTTCTTCCCCAATCACCACGAGCCCCGTGCTGATCCCCCGGTGGAAAGGAAACTTTTGCTACTTTTTTGCCTGTATAACCTAGTGAACTTTCCATGCCTGGGGACCACGTACTCTGATAACACAAGCTGGCTTACTCCATGGATCAGTCTGGTCCTATGGGTTCCTCTGCAATGGAGAAAGGTAGACTGGCTAGTTCCTGACTCCTCCTCTCCATGAGTCCACGCCCCCTAGGCATGCACACCTTTCAACACAGTTGGAGCAGAGGGGTTATAGCAGTAACAATGTTGAGGGTGGAATTTAACTGCATAGTCTCTTTTCTCAAGGGGAATATGTTGTACTCCATGATCCCCAAGAGGGAGGGGCATAGAAGGTAAATATGTTGTAGCTAGTCTGTTCTTGACCCCATGCCTCAGTCTCATAGTCCAGTACCAAACTGTCCACAACAGGGTGAAGACAGTGGATTCGATGTTGCGTTTTCTGGATTTTCTTACTATGAATCAGAATTTGAATATCCCTCCTGTGTTTCTTTTTCTTTTTCATGACTCTCTGCCTTTGAGATGCATGTAGAGGAGAAGCAAGTTGTATTGAAAATGGGAAGGCTGCGCTTCTAACAGCATGTCTGATCATCGTGCTAAGTTTTCTAAAGGAATGCTGCTACGGTAAAAAGAGGAACTGTTAAACGGACCCTAAGCTGGACTGGAAACATGATACAAGGAATTCTCTCAGGGAAAGGTCTATCCAGAAACCTGCAGAACCTTATTGAAGGTTATGGGGAATAACAAACTAAACATCAGATGCTTCACAGCCCTGCCTATTGACTGCAGTTTTAAACACCAGAATATGACTTTTACAGGGTATTGTCTTAGGTAAGAAAGGAAAAGCATGTCAAAGCACTAGTATTGATCTCACCATCCAAGATTGGGCAGTTGCATTATAGAAAGTCTCTCTTATGCCACCTCAATTGTTGATGTACCATCTTTAGTCTTCGCATTTATTCAGAGGACCATAAATATCATCAATGACAGATTTGGGATTCCCAGGCTTTTCATTCTATGACTATGTATGTCAACATTGCGCATTCTTGCACAAGAAGATATGCAAATGAGGCGTGGCGATGAATATCACCACACCTCATTTGCATACCTAATGAGCCACCATTTTTGCACAAGGGGCTTTTGCACATGAAGGAGCCATCTACACAGCTCCTTCTTGCGCAAAAAAACCCTCTTGCACAAGAGCCGTTCTGCCGCTTTTTTTCAGGAAGAATGGCTCTTGCGCAAGAGGGGGTTATTGTGCAAGAAGGAGCTGTGTAGACGGCTCCTTCTTGTGCAAAAAGCGGCTGCTCATTAATTATGCAAATGAGGCATGACGGTATTCACCATGCCTCATTTGCATATTTCTTGCACAAAACCAGCGCGATGTAGACATAGCCTATGTGTGTACAGCACCCTGCACATTGGGGCCCTAGTCCTAAACTAAGGCTCTTCACTGATACCACAATAATAAAATAACAATCAATGCCACACTATGTTCTTGAAGTAATTTGAGCAAAGGCTTATATATAACAAGATACACAACCCCTCACATACAAGTGCCATTCGTTCCTCAAATGCCTGTATTAGATCGTATATCAGATATCCACATATAACATGGCTATAAATGTGATACATTGTGGAACCATGGGCCTCTATCACTAATCGACAATCCTCTCTCCTATACTCTGTAGTCTACCTGGGACTACTTCTAACATCCCACACATGAATGCAGCTTTAAAGAACCACCCTACTTTTAAACCCATCCACAATAAAACCATTTTCTAATATCCCCCCCCCCACCACCCCCCCGCC